TTGTGCTTTCTGTCGATTGTCGGAGAAGTGCTTCATTATTTGGCTATTATATCTTATTGGAATGCCGCCTTAATGGCATATGTTTGCTTTCAATACTTGATCTATTGGAATATCGAAATGTCTTTTTGCAAAGGTTTCGATGGAATGATGTGTTGGTCGCAATTATGCCGTAATAATGTGTGTATCTTTGGTATGTTCTCCAAGATTCGGCTCTCTGAGTTATCTTCTTTCCCTGTTTTTTAGAGTGAATAGCTGGATCAATGCCCGCGGAGAAATGGCGAGGCATCACCACCCCCCTACATCACTGTAAAATCGTCGTTAACGCAGAATCGGCCTACTTCAACCGATAAACAGCCCGATGGTCATCCTTTGGACATACCAAATGGCTTTACCCCGCCGCGCTTGTGTGGCCTCCCGCACCTTGCTCTTTGCTCAGTGTGCCGACGATTATTCGGTCGGAGTCGCACAAGCATGACGTGTTGTGCTCGTGCACAGTGCATGTGGAACGCACATGCTACACACACACACACACAAGCAAGCAAACACGTGTATGCGAACACACACTGGGTTATCGCTAACTCTAGACGATGCGTCGAGTTCTTATCCATCAATCAGATGCATCCTGGGAAGACTGTAGGCGCATACACACACNACTGTAGGCGCATACACACACTGGGTTATCGCTAACTCTAGACGATGCGTCGAGTTCTTATCCATCAATCAGATGCATCCTGGGAAGACTGTAGGGGTTCAACCTCCTGATGAGTCGGTGAAAGTCTGACGAAACACTTTGGCACAATCATGCTTTTTCTGAGTGTACAACAAATATGACCACACCCACACACAGTCGGTGTAAGTCTGACGAAGCAGTCTGGCACAGTCATGTTTTTTTAAGTGTATAACGAATATGACCAGACACACACACATTATTTTTTTATTTTTTTTAACTCTGCACGCGTGTGTGTGTGTGTGTGTGTGTGTGTGTGTGTGTGTGTGTGTTTTAACGTATGTATCGTATGCGAGGATACGATAAACCAGTATCCAGCATTTCTCCGACGGCGACACGTCGGTGCACCTTGCATCCGAGGTTCGAGCAGGTATGGCATGATATAGTCGTGTGGTACGCAAAGCAATTCCTGACTCGCGGATATTAATACGTTGTCTCAGGAGCAACCATCATTGACTTGATGCTATAGCCACCTAATTCGGAAAGGAGGTAGTTCGGGAGAAGGCGAGGGTGAGAGAGAGAAGGGATGAGGGAGTGGGGAGGTACGAAAAAAAGCTCACGGGTGCTCATATTAGTAAGAATGCAAAACAGAAAAAAAAAAGGAAGAAAAAAATCACCAGACAGGACAATTTCTCATGTCTCGTAGACGCCCGCATAGGCTGAAGGGGTCTGGGCCTCGTGCGGCTTCTAAGGTTTATAAGGAAGCGCGCGTAGATCGGTTTCGTCTCGGTCTGATCGTCACAGAGTTCCGACAACTATCCGAAGAACGGGCCGGCATAACCAATCTGCAAACGTTCCGAGAAACAGGGGGGGAGGGGAAGGGGGGCGGGAAGAGAGAACACTAAAAGAAGTGGTGGGAGAGCGAAAAATAACTCTACTGCCAGCATACGCTCAGGGGAGCCGGGGGTGTGTAAGCAGTCCGCACTCAACGAAGATGGCGTTTTTGATTACTCAATCTTGGTTAGATAGGGCGTGCATACAAAGGGTAAGTTTCGAACAAAGCAATCTCCTCGCGAGCTTACGAACACACTTCTAACAGGGAGCAATCAGGCTCCTTATAACTGGAAGGATGATCGCAGGACCGAGGGAAGCTCCCGAGAAAAAGCAACGAGACGAAGAAGTTAATGCCAGCATACGCTTAGGAGTATCGATGGCAAGCAAGGTGCGAGTACGCATTCCGTATCCAGCTGAGATGGCTTTTCGGTCACTCAATCTCATAGGACCTTGGTTAGATAGGGAGTGCATACAAGGGGTAAGATCGGAACAAAGCAATTCCCACGTGAGCTTACGAACGCACTTCCAATAGGGAGCAGTCACAGGCTCCTCGCAACTGGAAGGGTGATCGTAGGACTACGGGAACCGACCGCTGCGACAGACGTATATTCGAGCAATAGCCCAGGGGTTGACATATGCAAAAAAAGGGGGGGTTCTTCCCATACAGGTCTAGCATGGCAATAGTTTTACGCAATTCGAAGAGGGGGTGGGTGGGTGGCGGGGTGTGTGAGCGAGAAAAACAAAGAAGAGGAGGGAGAACGATGGAGAACTCATAGCCAGCATATGTTCAGGAGTACCGAAGGCAAGCAAGGTGTGAGCACGTGTTCCGTACCCAGCGGAGATTGCGTCCTGGTTACCCAATCTCATAAGACTTCTGGCTCGAAAGGAGGTGCACACAAAGGTAAGATTCAAACAACGCAACACCTCGTGTGCTTACAATCGCACTTCCAATAGGGAGCAATTTCAGTCTCCTTGTAACTGGAAGGGTGATCGCAGGACTGGAGGGAACAAACCGTTGCGACAGACGATTATTCGAGCAAGAATTCGGGGGTCAAAATACGCAAGGGAAGAAGACATGCATCTCTTTAAGAAGAGTATTCACACTGTGGAAAAAAAATCGAGAGTGTCACTCCAGCGCCCTTAGATCGGATGAAAAAAACTTAATTGGTACTTCAAACGATCGACCTCAAAACAAAACAAGATAATACGAGCTATGATCGTTAGGAGGCGGTAGCAAGGTGCTGACTCAAACAAGCGGAGAAGGAGGGAGGAGAGAGAAAGAGAGATGAGAAAGAAACAAGAAAAAAGAAACCGCAAAAAAAAGGAAGAGAAAGGAGAAGAAAAGAAAAGAAAAGAAAAGAAAACCTGCACCATGTCTTTCCGTGTCCCTACTTCTGCGACCATGCGCAAGAGACATCACAGCAGATCCACAGGCGGGGTGGCACATCCCTGAGGCCTTTCTGCTGCCTGCCACTGGCGGCGTCATCAGAGGGGGGGCTTTCCTTTTTCGTCGGAAGGCTGAGAGCAAGACATAGCAGAAGGAGTGGGTGAGGTGGAAGAGGACGGCGGGATAGGATCCCTGCAGTGGTGGGATGCTGACGAGCCAGAACTCGTGGAGAGACACGATGAGCGCGAACAGCGAGGCGGAATAAGGGTGCCATGACCTTGTGGCTGGTGTGCTTGTAGGAGGGGTATTGCGTGGGGGAGAGAAGGCGTGAGAGGTTGCGTAGGTAAGCCAGCATTAGGGAGTGTGACAAGGAAGAAGAGAAACGCGAGTAGGGAGAGGAGTGCGAGGTATGCTAGGAATGCACAAGCCGTGAGCTCCATGGAGGTCCTCTCACGCCCCTCATCCAGCGTCATCCTGAGAGAGACCTTTGACGATCTGCAGCATAACCCCCAGTGAGCAGGAAAGTCACAAGAGCAATTCACGCAGAAGTAACGCAGCGATGATGAGAGCCAGGGTACAGAGCGCTGAGGGTGGTGAAGAAAAAAGCAGTGGCGCAAACGAGACGGGAGAAGTAGCGAGAGCGTGAGAGCATCACGCACTCCTGTTGGCAAGCCCAGCAAAGCAATGCGACGATAAGAACGTTGGGTACGAGCGCTAAGCAGAGTGCAAGTGCGCAGAGTAAGGCGGTGAGCGACAGCGGTCCAGGCCACTAGGCTTCATGGTCACGTGGCGACGATACCCCTTCTTCCGATTCGATGAAGTCCTCCTCGCAGTCCGGTTCAAAGTGAAAGTCCATTCCGCTGCGTCGATCTGCCGTGCCGCGGACTCCCAAAAAGAGCCAACAATTATCGGAAAACGCCGAGATTCTTTCAGTCAGCGACTCGCAAAGCTAGATGCCCCGAGGTTCCGTGTAGACAACCGCTCGATGCAGATGGAGTTGCTACCCTTGGCCCAACTCCTCCGTTTAAGTGTCCATGATTCGGCCGGTCACAGTCATGCTGAAATGGAGCACGCGGGAGCTTATCATATTCAAATCAAAATCAAAATCAAAATCAAAAAAATTGAGGGATGCGACTCCTGGTCGCGCGCCTGGTGTTTCCTTATTAAAAACGCTTGAGTACCGCCATCTTACCATCGGAGACCCCGTATCATTTATCGAGGTGGAGAAGCGTCACTGGAACGTAGACCGATGCCTGAATGAGGTCGACAAAACGCGCCCGCAGGGCGAAGACCGAAAAAAAGGGAAAAACAGCATCAACTGCCAACGATAGGGAAAAAAAGGGGGAAGAAACCAGAGAAAAAAGAAGAAGAAAAAGAAAAAACGGAAAGAAAAAACGGAAAGAAAAAAAGAAAAAAAGAAAAATAGAAAAATAGAAAAAAAGAAAAGNAAAAAAAAAAAAAAAAAAAAAAAAAAAAAAAAAAAAAAAAAAAAAAAAAAAAAAAAAAAAAAAAAAAAAAAAGGGGGGTGCAGGGGAGGTTTGTGGGTGGGTTGGGACCGCCTCGCAGTCGTGTGAGCAATATACAAGGGAAGTCTGGTCCGAATTTCCCAACAAACATATGGGTGTTAGTCCTAGCTTTTGTGCGGGCCCAAGCGCAACGTACCAGCGGGAATTCCCGGTTTCAGTGGCTCGTTTTCCTCACCTACCCGATGGAATCCGCAGCTTAGCAGCTTCTGTCCGGAATCCCTACTCCCTTCTAGCTGCTCCCTGCTGCGAAGCTTGCTGATCCCCTGTCTCTAGCTCAGACAAGCTCTGCTGACTTGTAAGCGTGTGTGTGTGTGTGCGTGTGTGTGTGTGTGCGTGTGTGTGTGTGACCCACCCGCTATCCCTCCAGAGGGATTGCCTTGGCTGAGCGGGTCAGCTGTCCTGGGGACAGCTGACCCACTGGGCCAGCAATCCCCCGGACTCCACACACCTACACATACACAGACACAGACACGATTAGTGCATTGTGTACCTCTGCTCTAAAGATTCGAGGGTCAACTGCAAATTAACCGTGCTTGGCTGATACAGCTGATGATTCTTGAGGACTTTTTTGACGACGTCCCAGCACCTGCGTGACTCGTATCCATTCTCAATCATCCCGGCTACCACATGGTGTATCTCGGACGCAGCCTCCGTCGGGTCGGTGCATAGGATCAGAATCAGTGCAGTCTGCGCGGTGATGATTTGCAAAGATTGCGCAGTACTCCTGTTCGAGTTGAATCTCGTGTACCTGCAAGGTTCAAAGCCCACGTCATGCCTCTTGTCGCTCTTCGCCGTCGCGAATTCTCCCTTCTTGGCAGAGGAAACCGAGATCGCCATGCTGAGGAAGTTGGCGACGATGCCTTGCCCGTCTTCTCCCTTAAGCATAGTAGTCTCCTTAATCTCGATATACTCAGCAGGGTAGATCCACTTGGGATCTGCACTCTGGTCGCAATCCAGTCTGAAGCAGTCTCCGACCGTAGCATTGTTCAGAGAGTAAATGTCGTCCACATATCGAAACGTGTCTCTGAAGGATCGGACCAACTCGTACAAGCCTTGCTCCAACATCCTGACCATCGCCTGGTACTCAAAAAAATAGACGTCGCACCAAATCGGTGAGCAGGCCAGCCCCATCGGTATTCCCAGTACCTGCTTCCAAACCTCCCCTCCCATCTGCACGAGGCTGTGTGAGACACACCACTCCGATACCCAAACAACTTCCTTCTCCGTGAAATGCATGCAGTCCTCAGGGGGGCAAAGATGCTTATCCGTCCATGACGCGAACATACTGCCCCCATCCGTGACCCTGACCTTGATCGAATCCCGTGGGCTCCTGTCGCGTCTGTGCGCCATGGCACACTCTACAAAAAACTTTACTGCAGCGACCAAGCTATGCTCCGACGAATCCGTAGGGATCAGCTCGAAGCACCTGGTAATGTCAGCCGTGTAGACGGATGATACCATTTGCGGAATGCTGGCTGCAAATTCGCCAATCGACGAGACTGGCCACCATAGGTTGGGTTTCGTTCCGTACTCGGCTTCCAATAAAATGCTCTTCTCTTTGCAGAATTCTCGAACCGAGGGAACCAGGAAGCTAAGCAGACAGGCGCATAACTCGGCCATTGCAGAGACTGATGAGTTGACTGTGTTTGTGATCCACCGGAAGGTGCGCTTATGTGCTTTGAAGACCGCCATCAGATACGGAAGTGTTGATCCGGTACGAGGGAGAGCTTCAAGATGCGTTGTCTCTGCATGCATGGCTGCTTTTAAAAGCTCTGGCTCCTCATGTAGCAATACGAAGTCCGGGCTGGACAACATTTGCAATGCAAGCTCTCTGATGAAGTTGACACAGACGTACGTTGGCGTATTGGCAGCTTTGTCCGTGGCTAAGACCAGGAACCTCCTGGAGATGAATTCGATCTCCTTTTTTATGCTCGCCTGATCGATGGGCTCGACAGAGACATGACGGTGCTTGTTCCAGTAACTGCACATCTTTGTTCTAGCCTTATCTAGCGCCAGTTTTCTCACCTGCCTCCTCCTCCTGTCACTGAGTTGCAGGATGTCATGTGATGTATCCGCCACCTTGTCCAGAAGCTGCCCCATCTCGTAGAGAGCCTCGTCAATGTCCAATGCTTTCAGGGGGACATGGTTCAGACCCTCCTTCAGCATAGCCCTAAGGCTGTAGTTATCTGTGATCTCCGGGCTCATCGTAACTACGTGCTGGTGCACAGAACCCGGGATGAGCTCAGCTGGTATGCTACTGAGGAGCGGTGCATACCTCTGAGATCTGCACGGGCACCTTGCCACATCATAATCCTTCGACCATTGCTTGAGGTTGAAGTCCCTGAAGACCCTTTTTGGCTTACAAACGTATGCGGCGATCGGATCATTGTAGGACCATCCAAATACGATATTGTCCAGTCATGAGTCCACTTCCTCCCCTACAATGCGTTTCAGCGCATCCTGCATGATTCTCCTGGCGGAGAAAGCTTCCATGATCTTGCTCGTGTACCTCATGTGCAGATACGTCGCTTCAGTGCGCTTCTTCTTCTCCCATCTCATCCTGCCGTTGGGGAGCTCGATCATCCTGCCACCCAGCTCTAGGTCCTGTGAGACAAAGATAGCGCAGGCGAGGTGAATCCTACGGTCATCTGACAAGAAAAAAAAGGGGGGTAAAAGAAAAAAATTATTGGAAAACCAATGGAAAAAAAGGGGGGAATTTGGAAGAAGGGAGAGGGAGACGAAAAATGCATGGTGCAGAGGCGTGGCACTCTCTCGTGTGAGCGAACAAAATCCTGTGCGGCCAGATCACCATCAGAGAGTCTTCGCGTTAAATTCCTCCTTTGCTCAGATCGCCTAGAATCAACCTGCGAACGTTCCTCCGGGGAAAGCCTATCGCCGCTTGCTGCCAAGCTAAGGTTAGTCGGTGTGTGTGCCGCTGGTGGAGTGACTAGGATCGGTGGGAGTTGCTCGGCAGCCTGCACTGGGGCGGTGTGCTGAAGTAATGGCCCTGGATCACGCGCAACGGTGTTGGCTAGATCAGCAGCACCCCTTCTTTGTGCGAGGGCAGCCTCCCGTCTCGGGGCGGGGGGGAAATTCAGCCCTCCTTGCCTGGGGATGGGCTCCAGGCAGCACCTCAAGTGTGGAGGTAAAGTGCCATAGCGTTGCTCGTATTTATACGTATAGTACATCATGGATCTAGGTGACGGCGTGCGCTCGCGTCGGTCCTCTGAGCGATGGCGCAAGCACGTTCCTCCCATCTCACCTCCTCCTCCTCCTCTTCAGATCTCTCCCCTTCGTACGTCAGATCGAACGGTCGATCTGGCGCCTTCCCTTGTCGACCTCCTCTCCCACGTCCAGCGCCCAAGCCTCGCGTCTTTGGCGCCATGGCAAAAACTAATTAGCTGCGCGACGATAAGCGACGATGAGCGCTAGTGCGATAAGAGCGCAAGCAAGTCGAGAACGATGAAGGCAGCGGTAATAGCAAGAGCATAACAGTGCCGCACACTCGATGATGCAAGGTCAAGTGCGAATGATGAAAGCAAGTACGATATTAGGCCTTTATAGTGGTCGAAACCTGGCGAGGACGCCAGGAATGGGGTTTGGTATGGTTGTCGGAAGACGATGCGACGCAGCAGCGGAAATTGACTCGCCGCAGTCAACCTCCGCGCTGCATCAAAACCACGCCTAGGACGTCCGCGGTCATGGTCAAACTGGACCCTGCCACATCGATTACATTTCCCCCAGGCCGAAATTGAAGGAAAGACGGCGTGGCGGTACGGTTCCCCGAAGACCTGAAATGTCCCCGTTGGACTGGACCGACGCGACCACAATGGGCCAATTAGTGGGTTCCGGTCCAAACGGCAAGTTTGACCGGTTGGGACCGGACCGACACGGCCGCATAAATTGGCCAGAAAAGGAACGGCCCTAAGAAGTCATATAGATGAACAGCTGGGCATGAGTAATTAAGATAGGGTCATGTGCTATTTTTAGCACGGGACTGACTGTTCAGCTCCCAAAGTCGGGCCTGCACCTGTCCCGTTCTAAAATTAGCACTGTCCCACGCTATTTTTAGCGTGGGATTGACTGTTCGTCTACCGGGGACTGGGCCTGCGCCAGTCCCGTTCTAAAATTAGCACGGACTGACTGTTCCTCTATCGGGGACTGGGCCTGTGCCAGTCCTGTTCTAAAATTAGCACAGCCCCACGCTATTTTTAGCGTGGGACTGAATGTTCGTCGGTCGGGACTGACTGTTCATATCCCGAGGTCGGGACTGCTGCTATTTTTAGCACAGGCCCGGTCTAGAGTTTGACCACAACCCTGACCATGGGACTGCAGCACAGCCCCGATCACTTGGCCTCTCCATTATAAAAGAGAGGCCACGTCACCCAAGCAAGACAAATCAGTTCGCGACAGATCAGCATGCGTGACACACGTGGCACGGATCAGACAGTGTGAGAGAGCCCTCACTTGCGGGAACGCTGCAGCATTGGCAGAACGGCAAGGAGCGGAAGGCACGAGCAAAAGAGCAGCGATGTGCCAGCAGGAGCGTAAGAGGAGCTCGGAGCAGTAGGCAAGGGAGTCAAGAAGGAGGCAAGCAAGGGAAGAGGTAAGGAAAGGGAGGGGCAAGACTTGCTGGGAAAGGGGTCTGGAGTTCACCTAGTCGCCTGTCCCATACAACCGTTCTCCTTTCTGCCCCTCACTTTCCCTTTCTCTTCCCTTCTCTTCTCCTCTCTTCTTTCCTCTTCTCCCCTCTTCTTTTCTCTCTCTCGCCCTCTCTCCTTTCCAACTGCCTCCATGGGTTGCGTGCACGCCGTATCTGATCAGCGCGCACCGTGCCTATGGGCTATATTTGAGCTGTGCGCCAGCGCGCACTGTGCCTGAGGGCTGTTGACGTTGGGTGCCCACGTGCAGGGCTGCTGACACCGTGCGCCCTTGCTCACCGTACCTAAGGGCCGACGGAGTTGTGCACCCACTTAAAGCTATTGATACCATGCGCTCACCTGCCCTGAGCACGAAGACTGTCGATACCAAGTGCCGGCGCATGCAGCGTACCTTGTCTCTGAAACATAATGTTATACTTGGCTGTGTCTGGGTCAAACCTGTCAGTGTATCACATTGAACTATGAAACATGATTGGTTGTGCTAGAGCCTAAAGATTGGCTGTGCCAGTAGGCACTTGAACAGAGCTTAATGATTGGCTGTGCCAATAGGCACTTGAACAGAGTATAATGATTAGCTCTGAGGCACTCAATCCGAGTCTTTTGATTCGCTGTACCAAGAGGTGATTTAACCAAGGATGACATTTCGCTCAAGGTGTGCATAATGATGCAACTGTGCGCACTTGAATTTTAGTGCGACGCTGCGCACCCAATCAGCAAACCAAAGTTTTGTCGATCTTGGAAAGTGCAATATTGCGCACTCAACTCGTAACCCCTGTTGTGACAATCCTGAGTAACTGCAACTGTGCGCACTCAGAATTAAGTGCGATATTGCGCGAACCACCCTGAGTATCAGACCGGTTTTGGGACTGCCAGCGCAGTATCAGATCGATTTTGAGACTGCCAGCGCAGTCACACTGAGTACCAAGTCGATTTTGAGACTGCTAGCGCAATCACACCAAGTACCAAGCCGATTTTGAGACTGTTAGCGCAGTCACACTGAGTAACAAGTCGATTTTGAGACTGCTAGCGCAGTCACACCAAGTACCAAGTCGATTTTGAGACTGCCAACGCAGTCACGCTGGGTAACAAGTCGATTTTACCAAGCCAATTTTGAGACTGCCAGCACAGTCACACTAAGTACCAAGCCGATTCTGAGACCACCTGTGCAGTCATACCAAATATCAAGCCGATTCAGAGATTTTGTTTGCGCAGTCACACCAGGCTAATTGCGCAGTCACATTGAGCATTTCGCTGTGCGCAGCGTGCGCACTACATTTGAGGGCTATATCAGAGCATTTCGCAGTTCGTATCTGTGTGCAGAGAGCGCGCCGAACTTGAGGACCATACTTGAGTGTTTTGTATCTGTGCGCAGAGAGCGCGCTGTACTTGAGGGCCATATTTGAGTGTTCTGCAACAGTGCGCAGAGAGCGCTCCGAGCTTGAGGACCATACTTGAGTGTTTCGCAACTGTGCGCAGAGAGCGCGTCGTACTTGAGGACCATATTCTGAGTATTTCCGCAACTGTGCAGAGAACGCACCATGCTATTTCTGAGCATTGTGCTATTTGCAAGGGTCATTTCTGAGCATTGTGCTATTCGCAAGGGCCATTTTTTAGCATTGTGCTATTCGCAAGGGCCATTTCTGAGCATTGTGCTATTCGCAAGGGCCATTTCTGAGCATTGTGCTATTCGCAAGGGCCATTTCAGAACATTGTGCTATTCGCAAGGGCCATTCGCAAGGGCCATTTCATAACATTTCACCTATTCGCAACTGTGCGCTGTTGCGCATCATGACTGAGAAACATTTCTGCTATTCGCAACTGTGCACTGTTGCGCACCGTGACTGAGGGTCATGCATGGCCGATTTCGAACCGGAAGCGCCGGTGTCCATATCAACTGAGTACATAGTAAATAGCTGATTTTGAGTCTGCGCACGCTCTGTTGACCAACTCTCATTTAATGACAATAGCGGTCTGGCCCTAAGAGAAGGCCAAGTAATTTCCTGTTTGACTGATCATCGAAGTTGCAAGCAGAAGCATATTCAGTTATCATTTGACCAACAAATTGAGCGCCCAGACCAGATATTATTTTTAAGTGCGCGCTCGTGCGTGCCCAGACCAGATATTATTTTAAGTGTGCGCCCGCGCGTGCCCAGACCAGATATTACTTTTAAGTGCGCGCCCGCATGCACCCAGACCAGATATTATTTTTGAGTGCGCGCCCGCGCGCGCCCGGACCAGATATTATATTTTGAGTGCGCGCCTATGCGCGCCCAAGCTAGGTATTGCAGATAGAGTGCGCGCCCATGCGCGTCCAAGCTTGGTATTGCAGTTAGAGTGTACGCCCATGCGCGCCCAAGCTTGGTATTGCAGTTAGAGTGCGCGCCCATGCACGTCCAAGCTTGGTATTGCACTTAGAGTGCGCGCCCATGTGCGCCCAAGCTTGGTATTGCAGTTAGGGTGCGCGCCGATGCGCACCCAAGCTTGGTATTGCGGTTAGGGTGCGCGCCCATGCGCGCCCAGGCTTGGCATTGCAGTTAGAGTGCGCGCCCAAGCTTGGCATTGCCATATGAGAGTGCGCCCATGTGTGCCCAGGCTGAATTTCGTTATTTGAGTGCGCGCCCAT